CCGTCGTCCGGAGCGATTGACTGCGCACCGATAATGGAAGGAGGATCGCCTTTCCTGCGAGAGTATGCATCAAGTACAGAACCGTCATCTTCATCCACGACGGATGCAGAGTCGTTGGGGTGCAGCTCAGAGTGGGGAGACTGCATGAGGTGGGACGTGCTCCGAGTCTGGTTGCGAGACTGTTCAGTGTGGGCGGCAGAACCAGACACAGCAGACTCATTGTCGTCGTGTCCGAGCGACTCGAAGAAACGACCCCACATCGGGCCACCTTCTGGCTCAGCACCGCCAGCAGCCTCAGCGCTCATCGCGTTCATCTGCTCCAAGGTGGCATAGGTCAACTTCAAAACGTCCACGATGGCGATTAAACGGCCATCCGTCTCGATAACAGGCAAGTTGAGGTAATGTCCGTCTGACAAAACATCATTAGCGCTACCCCATAGACAACGCGCTATGTACTTACTGTGCATCTTTTTCAAAGCATCATGAACAGTCATGGTCGGAGGCGCAGTATCGGGGTGTGGTGTCATGACTCGTACGACACTGCATCGACCTGCATCGAGGCCAGCGGCGATGACTCGTAAGACAACATCCTTACTCGTGAAGATGCCGGCGATACGTGGCGTCGCAGCCGTACCACCCATAGAGGTGCTGGGCGACTCCATAACGCATACAGCGGTCGTGCGCCTCTCCTTCATAAGCTTGGCAACTTCTCTGACAGTAGTCTTGGGCCCAACAGTAGCAGGCTCCGTCCGCGAATCCATGACGGTGGTAAGATCTGGAAGAGCTGTCTTCTCGCGAAGAGCCTCGACGTAAGAGAGCATAGCAGCAGTTTGCGGGTTAGTGGCTACGCCGCCTCCGAGCTCGGATTGAACACCAGCGAGAGCATTGTAGAGCTTCTCAGAGGCCGAAGAGCTGCGCTCAACCTTGTCCAATGCCTCGTGGAAAACCCTGGTAATATCAAGGAGACCGACGACGTTTCCTTCTTCGTTGCAGACGGGCTTGGAAAAATATTGAGAATGGGACAACGATGCAATGGGGATCAAACTCACCAAATGCCTGAAGTGACGAGATACCATGAGCTCTAAAGCCTCAGTCGCGCTCGTGGTGTCGCGAGTAACCATCGGGTTGCGCGTCATGATTACACTGACAGGAGTAGTGTGAGGATCCAATCCCTCCGCGGTGACCTGCACAAACAATCAGTCGGTTCAGCACGCCTTACTCGGTGAGCAGTAACAAAACGTACACGATACGCAAGATCCTTTGCGGTGAAAATGCCGCTGAGGCCCTCATCGTCATCGACAACCAAGACGCAGTCTGTCCTCTTCGCGGCGCAAAGCTGACTAGCCTCAGACACGGTAATGCTTTCCGGGACAGTCAGCGCGGGGCTGGGCTTGAGCGCGGCGACGGTGCCCTTCTGAACATTGGCCTTCTCTCTGCGCTTGCTGCCGCGGCCTTGCTGATACGTTGTCGAAATGGTGCGCTTGCGCGAGAGTTCGGATTCGATTTTCTTGCGGATTGCCTGCGTGGGATTGTCTGGGTCAACAACGCTCACGGTACGCGAGGGCACGCGGCGTTTTGGGATAGAGCTCGTTGAAGAGTGTGTGCGTGGCAGAGACATCGCGTGCGTGTTCAAGCACAACACTTGAACGCTACACACAGAAGTTGGACATTCTGCGGGCGACGCACGACAAACACGTGTAGTCCGCGCTTTGTGACTACAGAATCCGTACGTGTACGGACGGCTCCATCCGAGCCTGCTCCCACGCCATGTCCAAGAGGGTGGGAAGGAGACAAAACACTCACCTCGTCCTTCCTAGACTGCTTTCTCCTCGTGTCTGCCGCTGAACCTGAGAGAGTGGACATGGTCGCGGATGAGGAGCGCGGAGGCGGTAAGGGCGAGCTGGCACGTTCAGGAAACGGAAGAGGAGAGTGGGAGCGCTCTGATGCACCCGAGCTGCGGTTATAAGCGGAATGGGACGGCACAGGGATCCTGGACATGCAAGTGATCCTCAAGGGCCGTGGACGGACTAAAGCTGCTCTTCACAGCCGGATGTTTTCGCCGCCAACGTTCTTTTGGCTGTTGATCTTTGTTTGGTATCACACCTCCAGGCGCCCGCCTTAATTAATGGCGTCTCTTCAATTCCAGTTCTCCGTCCTCGACTCAGCTGCACACGCATACATCGAGGAAAGGCTGCGCGGTAAGCTAGATATACAAGAGAATACAAGAAAAGTAAGGCCCAAGGATGCTACTAGTACAATTACAATATATCACGGGTATCCGGAAATGATAGGCTGCGGCTGCGCTTTCAGTGACGGAGAAGCGAGAAGACAAAAAGTCAACATACCGAAGTAAATCACATCTCACACCTTTCGCACCCCGCTTCTCTTCGCACCCTGAGTGTTGCTATACCAATAGTATGCACCTCCCAACAGGAGAATAAGGAAAAAGTTTGCTGCAAGAAGCGTAAGTCTCGCAAGCTCAGAGCCGCCTTCACTGGGGAAGTACTCACCAAAGACAAAGCCAAGCGTATCTTGCACGAGATCAGTTGCAAGCTTCACGACAGCTTGGCCAATCTGCAGGACCCCGGTGGCGATCTCAGAGAAGAGCGCAATCACCGCCTGGAACACGGCCAGAGCCGCGTTGAACACAGCGAGGACGACGCTCGAAACGGCCTGCGCAAAAGACGAGAGTGCAGCGGTTATGGATGCGGCCATGGTTGAAACGTTGAAGTTCAAAGGTGTGTTAGTGAGGACCATCGTCTGCAAACGCACCTCCTATATGTATGATGCCCAGCGGGAGCATACCCGCACCACAGCGCTTGCGAGTCCGTGACGTCAACATAGCTCTATTCCACAGCCAAGCAGATATTCATTAGACAAGATAACCGGCACAGGCTTACGGCCCACAACACACGACGACAGGTTCAGGCATAGCGAGAAGTCGGAAGGGCCCGAGACAGCAATAACCTCCTTAGCACCTGCGCCACATTTACTGCGCCCGGGCGCCGGCAGCGGCGGGCTGCTGGGGAGCCACAGAGCTGCCAGCCCAGCGAGTGAGCAGCATTTTGAACGTATCCCAGATCTGGACGGCGACGGGTGGGGTACCCGGCTGGCGTACGTAGCCTTCGATGCGCTGATTGACGAGGGTGAGGGCGTTGCGGGTGAACGCAGATTGGTAGTAGCGCTGACGGAGGAAATGCGCGTAGAAAATGGGAGTCAGCAGCGAGTTGCGGAAGGTGATAGCTCCCAAGAGGACGCGAGCCATGATCAGGAGCTCGATGAACGCGACAGCCTTCATCGCGGTGTCATAGTTGGCTGCGGACACGTCAGTGAGATGCCGGTAATAGAAATAAACCCGAACACACCCTTTACCCAGAGCTGCAGCCGCTTGGCGAGAGGGTGGGGAGTAGGCGCGCCGCCAGCCGAAGTCGGGGGGCCAGACGCCAAGATTTGAGGCATCAATGTCGTGCGCGTGAACGTCAGCGCATGGAATAGCGAGAAGATAGCGAATGGAAGCAAAGAGACTGAGACGAACATCGTTCAGTGAGAGTAATGGAACGGTTGTGCTAACGCTTACAGGCTATCGGCTTCGAGGTCCACCAGAAGAATGCCAGTAGCAAGTATTGCACATTCTGACAAAGTTGATTTGAGTTTGTAGAAATGCATAAATTGCTGCAACACGTACTTCGTCAGTGAGAGCCCTCTTGATCCAGGCACCGTTGGGCTGCGGGGTCTACACATCGTGATCAACAACGGTTTCAAGGCGCCCCAGTCGCTGACTACTCACTCCGAGGGATTTTCTGAGGAATAGGAGGGTGAGACGAGGTAAAGCTTAGCACTCAAAGCGTCGAGACTCACTGGCACACGATAGCATAGCTCAGGAGCGCACCAAAGAAGCTGGCTGCAACGTGGCAACACCAACCGGTGAGGGAACGCAGGATGTGGAAAACGGTTCGGGGACGTACTCTTGTACCACCAGGACGACGGACCCCTGAAGAATGCCCAGGCCAGCAAGTAGCGGAAGGAGGAGACGAGGAGGACGAAGTGCCCTCCAGCCCACAGATAGTGCTGTTCAGAACCGGGTCAGCGTCGGGGTTTCTGGGGAGGTACCGGGTGGGTGCTCGAGGACGGCAAGGAGGATGGTCTAACCTGAGTCGTCGCCATCTAGCGTGGTGCCGGTTGTCTGACGTGTGTTGCGGAGAGTTGAAAGATGAAAAGGAGAGGCGCAGAAATCGTTTTCTGAGCCACAGCGAACCTTTGCTGCTCACGCTCCGGTGTGACGTACGCATGTTCTGCTTTAGGGCAGGCGTGACACCCACCGCGTTGCCCACACGTGCCCGCTCTGCCTCAGACTCGCGACTCGCGCGACACGCAAGATTTCACGTAAAATTACAGCAATGGAACCAGCGAAAACCTCCTCGACACAGCAATACGCCACAGAGCAGAAACTACAGCAGCGAAAATACTACCGGCTCCATTGCGCACCATCAGCCCTCATCTTCTTCCGCTCAAGCCCCTTCTTATACACCTCCTTCTCCACCACCCGCTTGCCGAGTGTCTCAGTTCGCCTGCCTTTTGAGTTCTTCCTCACATTCTTCCTCGACACCTCCTCTCCCTCCTGTAGGTCGTTCTCGTCCTTGTCCTTTGCATCGATCTCCTCCCACTTCTCCTCGACCTCCTCCTCCTCATCGTCGTCATCTCTCCGCCTCTTCTTGCCCGACCGGCCAGCACCGCCGGTGCCGCCGCCAATGTTGACGTTCACCCGCGGTGGTACCGAAAAGCCGAACGCCTTGCCGACCTTGGCAAGGTCGAGCTGGTTGACGTCGAAGATCTTCTTGAGCGAGTACGACGCGTACGCCTGCAGATACGACCGGAAGCCGTCCTTGGCGGACTGGTGCAGGAAGTAGTTCTTCTGCAGGAGTTTCTCGAGCTGCGACTGCACGTTTGCAATCTTGTCTGCCGGGAAGCTGAATTCGTTCAGCGGGACCTTGGCTTCCTTCAGGAAGCGCAGGAAACCGAGCTCGCTCGGGAGTAGGAACATAAGACTCTTGCCGACCTTGCCTGCACGAGCGGTACGGCCGACACGGTGAATGTAGTCGCGAGGGTCATCTGGCGGGTCGTATTGGATAATCCAATCAACACGGGGGATATCCAAACCACGCGCCGCGACGTCTGTACATAGCAGAATGCCAGACTCGGCGTTGCAGAATTCAAAGAAGGTATTTGTCCGCTTCTGCTGCTTTTGCTTACCCTGGGCTCGCAATGAGTAAAAGGGTTAAGTAGAGGAGGATAACACATACATGAAGATCCAATGTGGGGACGTCGATGTAATTGAGCAGCTCGGCGTGGTATTTTACGGAGTTGCAGCTCGAGAAGAAGACAACAATCTTCTTCTTCATGTGCTTTTTCAGGAAGGTGAAGAGGAGAAGGAACCGACGGTCTGACGGACAGACGACATATCCTTGTGACAGTGTCGAGACAGTGCTTGTGCTCTCGGTCTTGTCGACGTCAATGTACAAAGGTCCAGGGCGTAATGATATCCGCGCAAGGTCGGTAACTTTCGTTGTCTGAGTAGCGGAGAAGAGCATAGACTGGCGATTCTCTACGAGATGAATAAGAAGACATTTCAGTGAGATACTGCCACAGAACGCACCATTCGGGAGGATGGCAATAATCTTCTTCATCTCCTCTTCAAAACCAACCTCCAATATCCGGTCCGCCTCGTCGATGACCAAGCATTTGAGATTCCGGAATACAAATCCCTTAGTATTCTGAGGTTTGCAGAGACGTGGTAAGCGGAACGCTATGGCTATTACCGAGCTAGACGTACCTCAAGGTGATCGAGAAGACGACCAGGCGTCGCTACAACTAGATTGACACCCTTTTGCAGCTTATCTGCTTCTGCTCGACGGTTTGCACCGCCCATTACAATACCGAAGGTCTGCGAGTGGTGAGCCATGAGCTCTTTTGCCACACCGAATATTTGCAGAGCAAGCTCTCGGGTTGGCGAGACTATAACGATACCAGTGCCTGATACATGTTCTTAGCTGCGGCTCCAGTTGATCGTAAAGGATACTACGCACCATTCCGCGGCTTGAATTTCATCCTGTGCAGCAGCTCACAGCAGGAATCAAAAAAG